TCTGGGGACAATTCGAAATGAATGTTTTAAAAGGTCTAGAAGAGGAATTTGCCTTGATACAGGTATATGGTATATGTGTACTATTGAACTAGCTATAAGCAAAGACAGCTGGCAAAATAACATTACATCATAAATTTGATTTTTGGCCCACTTAACAGTCTCTCTCTCACTTCATTTAATCTTCATCAGTCTCTGTCTGCAAGAAGCAGAAAAAAATTGCAAATTCTTCAGGAAATTGAAATAGTTTTGTAATTTGACATCTAAGACCATTTAAAGCATGAGATACATGGATTATTTTGATTGCAAAAGAGATGAGTTAGTATCAATGGAAGGGCCAGAGTTGATTTTACTGAAACTACAACTTCACCTTTAGTTAGTACTTGCATCTACAGTCCAGAGTATACACAAAGTTTGGGCCCCTTAGCTGTGAGTATGGAATGTCACTATAAACAGCCCATTTCTTGGGCAATTGGCTGCTATGATCATTTGAATTACACTGGCACATAAGCACCAGAAAATCCCTGAATATTTTATGACCTTTAGCTTTAAGTACATTTTTAATGAGAAAAAAAATCATAAGAACTAATCAATTTCCTGAGAATATCTGTTTATAACTTTCTAATTTACCTAAACTTTTTTATATACACTTTTCTTACCTGACGCTGTGCAAGGATGTCTATGTTTTACCTTGAAAACAAAATAAATCAGACTTCAAAAAAATTAAGATTAAATGTTTTTAAGGCCTCTAGACCAAAATTAATGTGATACAAGTTTGTTTGGACATTCATTCATCTGAATTGTGTTGGCATCTATTTAATTGTATATTTTGTGGTAATTGCACTTCTTAAAGGTCAGTGACTCATGTATCTTGTTTGAAAATACAGTTCTTACATCTAAGATGCTAACTTCAGAGTATTTTTATGATGAAAGTAAAAGTTGCATAATGAGTCGTTCAAGTGCTTAATTTTCCCTACTGAATTCTAAAACCTGTTTTTGTTTTAAATATCAAAGGCCAAAGCAGAATCAGAAGAAAAGGATGACTTATTGTGCGAATTCCAAAAACAGAGAGATGTATTACTTGCATTATTTGATGAAAAACGCCATGAACATCTCCTCAGTAAAGGTAGATTGTAATATTTTATGTAAATTTGTAAGTTTTATACATGATATATATAATCACATAATAGCAATAAATTTGCAGGAGAATCAATAACAAACTAAGGACATTTGTATTTTGCAGGAGAAAGACGACTATCTTACAAAGCACTGAAAGGGGCCTTAATGATCTACTTCTACAGGTAATGTTGGAAGATGTATCTTTAATGCTTTTAGGCAGGAGGAGAAGGGAAGATTAAGAACAGCAGCACAGATTTATATAGGTTGGAACAGGCCTTGGAAAGTAATCTAATCCAACCCTCTACAGAAACCCTAATTAGTTAGACACAACTAGAAAGTCAGATCAGGCTGCTCAGGGCCGTGTCCAGCTGAGTTTTGAATGTCTTCATGGATGGAGGTTACATGGCCCCTCTGGGTGTCTGGTTTGTGTCTGACCAGATGGTGCTCCTCAGACGGTAACTAGGAAATGCCTTGTTTAAACTGTTCTACCTGTCCTAGAAAGATCTGGAGTACTTTTCCAAGTAGGAGGGAAAAGGTGTGGATTAAGTCGTAGGTGGCAGAAGCATTTGTTAAAACATCCATTAACATTTCAATACTAATTTAGGAAAAATATATGCAAAGTCACTAAGCACCAGTGAAGTGCTTCTTTGAAAAATAACAGTATAGGCCAAGAGGTCTCACTGTCTTCTCTTTCATTTTCCAAGAGAGGAGCCTCGTTTCCAGGTTCCCTTTCAGCTTCTTACCTCCCTTATGGATCTCGATGTACTCCTGACCAAATGGAGATGTAAGTTTCACTTTTTTGACTGTGACACTCCTTCTTTTAGATGCAAGTAAATTTTTCTGTCTCTGAGTTACACCCAGTCTTAGAATCGAGCTTTGGAGTTAATGCTTTACGCATGATTTTTTTTGTTTGTATTTCAGCCAAAAGGAAAGATTAAGAGCTGCTTCTGTGATAATTAGATACATAGGTATAGCTGTCATTTCTATGACCTGCTATAAGTTAGGTGAATTCTTTTATTTAAGGGACAGGTATATATTTTCCAAATGTCATCATGATGTCTCTTAATATGAAAACATTCCTTCTGCTCCTTCCCTATCTAGAAACACATAAGTGAATGTATTAATTCTGTATAATCAGGGCATAATAATGTATAAAAATTAGAGTGTTCATTCTGAATTAACAATAATTTTGTATTAGTTGACTGATGAATGGCAGATTTAACTCCTAAATTTCTCAAAACCTAGTAGTTCTGTATCTCTGTAAAGACCTCTGTGTGCCCTTTAATATTTCAGGGACGCATCTTGTCATGACTCTTTGGTTCTATCTAAACACTGAACATAAATTCAGTGTTTAGATACATGCCATTTTCTTCTTTTTTATCACTCAGATAACCATGTCTGCTTGGTGCACAGAATGATTGGCAGCAAGGCTGGCACTGGAGGCTCATCAGGCTACCACTATTTGCGCTCAACAGTGAGGTAAGAATAATGTGTTTCCCCCGTTACCTGCAAGAACACAGTTCATAAAACCTCTAATGCTAGGAGACATATTTCAGACAGTTCACTGGAGGCCAAAGGGCTGCTGCTTCTCGTTTGGGACTCTAGCATCGCCTCCTGGTCGTTATCTGTTTACTTATCAGGTTGCCATATATAAATTCCAAGCCTTCTGGGGCAAAAAAACCTTTTTATCACTCATGCAAAGTGCTATGTATAATTCTCAGCCAAGGGATCCAGACGTTACTGTGATAGCAAATAGTATTAACCCTGTTTTATCTAGTTTGTGTGCCACATAGCACAAGTTAATGAGGTGACACAGGCTGGAAATGAGTCCCGTCTACTGTGCAACTGATGAGTTTCTTTATTCCTTAGTGTGACCACTAATTGCACAACCTGAGGTACTTCAATTTGGGATTGAATATAATCTTAGCTGATAATAATTAATACTCTCAAGCTGTGTAAGCAATGATCAGAAACATGTTTCCTTCTGTTGGATGAAGCAGAAACTTAAAAGGGATGGTTGTGGTCTGAGGACAGAACTCTCTGAATGAGTAGAACTTTTTGTACACAAAATTCAAGCCTTCTAGCTGCAATTGTTCTGACAGTCCTGAACAACATTATGTAAAAAAGCGCAAGGATATTTAGACCTCTTTATAAGAGGATCTTGAGGTTTGTTTTCAAAAAGAAACTGTACATAGTCGCCGACTACTATGTATGGCTGTGGGAAACAATCACCATCACCACCATTGTAACAGAGGGTAGAGTAGAAAGCAGATGGTTGAACTGAATTTGAGGATTGAAGGTCCACTGTATTTTTTAGAAAGCCTTCCCAGTCTTCCTTAATTTCAGGTTAACACTGTTCCTAGATAAATACTACTACGTATCTACCACAAGAGTGAAGGTCTGGAGATTATACCCTATGTACTCTGCTATTTCAGAAGAAAGACATGACTATAGCAACCCCACTCCCTTTTTAAGCCTAATCTGCTATGCCCCAGAAACAGTTAGGTTTGTATTCTTGCTCTGCAATATTCAGGACGGTTAGTGCAGAAATGTTAATAAATTAATGAGATGGAATGATTGCTGAGGATTTAGAAATTATGGCCTTCTTATGCTGATGTATTTATTATTCCAATTGTCTTTTTCAGTGACAGATACAAGGTATTTGTGGATTTGTTCAATCTTTCAACGTTTCTAGTGCCAAGACACTGGATACCAAAGATGAACCCAACCATTCATAAATTCCTTTACATGGCAGAATATTGTGATAGTTCCTATTTCAGCAGCGACGACTCTGACTAGACTGCTTTTCTAGACTAGTTCCTGTAAAGAACTTCATGACTTTCACCTTGAGTGGTGCTACCCCTCAAACAATAGCTATTCTCATGGAGTGTAGGAGAGTAAATGTGTATTTATGTATGACAGCTATGTGAATAGTATGATCGGTTTGTGGAAGAAATTTAACTGTTTGTAGAAAAAATAATTTGTATTGAGTTAGCCTATACTAAGACTAAAATGATACCCCAATCCAACTCAATGACCAATTTAACTCTTGGTTGGCTTCTTATAATCTACACCTAGAGAGAGGGAGCAAATTATATGGAATTATAATGATCCTGACTTATTTGTACATATTTTTGTATTTGTTTGCCTAATGGCTGTTACTAATTTATGTCTGGTTGAGGATATAATCAGTCTCATCATCCTCAGAGGAATATCAGTTTCTGAGCTCTACTGCAATTTCAAAAGGAATTTTGGGTTAGGAGTTTCAAAAGCTGTATTTAAAAAGTAAGTCCAGAACCTATAGGAACTGCAGCATCCTGAACTTATATACATACATCAACAATCATGTTGCTACGTATGGGTTACATGTGAATGTAAATCCCTTCTGTAGAAATACTTACTGTTAAGAATAGCAGATATAACTACTTAGTTTGCACTTCAAATAAAGCAGTATTAAAGCTCATCTTTTGTTAAGTCTTCTTCTAAAGCAACCATAAAGTTCAAACAACAGTATGACAGGCATTTAAAGTGGCTTTTATGCAAACTATCATTGAAAAAAGGATAAAACTGATACATAATAAAGGCAAGTTTGGCCATAGAATATCAATAAAGCTGTGTGGTCTTCTCAGTAAATGGACTCTTGTCTTTTTAAATGCTTCATTTGGAAAGACCCACACCGTAGGCCTAAATTTCTGGTGTGTTCTCTGTACCATAGCAATTGTTTTCCAGTTATGGAAGTGTGCTGTTTGTTGTTTGTAAACCATTCAGAGAAGGACATACTACACAACACTCTGACAGTACAGAAGACTTTTCATTTTGTTAATCTGAAGTTTTCAGCCAAGTAAAATCAGTAAGTAGCAGAACCTGAATTAGTGAAACATGGCTAATCCACTTGGTCTTCCTTTAATTTAAAAAATTAACAATTAGAAGGACTAAAACAGTAATACTTACAACAGACAAATATAAACACTCATTGCATTTTTCATAAAAAGTTTATAAAAAACTATTAACATGGTACAGTAATTGAGTGCAAAAATTACAAAATTGCTTCAATACTTTTCAAAGCAGGGCTTCTTAAAAGACACAGGTAAAGCACTGCAGATGGAAGACTCAGAGCATTTTAGAATTACACGTTTGGTTGTGAGTTCTAGTTACATTTGCCTGCAGCTGCAGTTTCACATGTCAGCAAAGCTGGAACCCCTTTTTGATTCCCAGGAAGTCTCACCTCTGAATTCAATTAACGCAGGAAATCCAACACTCAATTGATTTGATGTATTCTGTAATTGCTGACTTTCTAAATTGTTACTCATGGTTCTTTTTATATTCAAATAATTCAAAATACACTGTTATACTATTGATTTTTTGATCCAAATTCCTTCTCATTTGCCACTACTGCTTTCCTTTTAAGATTTTTCTATGGAATAGTATTCAACTCTGGATAGAGTTCACATTTGAGGTTTCAGTCCATCTTTGTAACCCTGCAGTTGATTCTGAGTCTTCTTATTCTGTGAGAAATTTGACACGCAACACAAATCCAACATAAAAATGTTTTTAAAAACTGCAGCCATCTACTGCCTAGAAGCAGGAATTGCCCTTATAGCAATTTCTTATTTTAGAAAATGTTGTTTTGAAATACATCTTCATATACAGTGTGTGTCCAAACGATATTTGTGTTCTTTGGCCCAGAGAAGTGTCAAACAAAAACTGATGAAACTGTATCTGCGATACCTGCAAAGGAATTACAATTTTTTTTAAAAAAATACTAGAAGTGGAGACTTCCCAGAATTCCTATTCATATAATGCCATCTCTCCGCCATGCCACAACAGCAGGTGAATTGCTGGGGGGGAGGGGGTACATGGAATCATCTGTAGCCCTTTTATTTCTTGCTTGCCTGACACTGTGTGTAGTTGAAACCTACTCTCATGTTCAAAATTTTAGATCCTTTTTGAGGACTCAGCATTGGTGCAATCTGTGTGCTGAAAAGCAATCTAAACCTTGATATCCTGCATTGGCAATATATAGACAACGTGAAGCTATGCAACTTTGAAAGCTCACTAAGAAACTGGAGATCACAAACTCCATTTGTAATCATTCCTACACTAGAAGCAAAGTTTGACTATAGACAGTGAAGGTATCAAATGGTAATGGCTCTTCTACCCTTAGAAGTGGTGTCAGAGGACATCTGTGGGGGAAATGAGCAACTACTGTCCTTTGCCAGATTGTTCTTGTGTGGTACACTGCAAAAAATGTGAAAGATTCTGCTTTTTGAGAGAACAGATTTTGAAAATAATACATCTATTCTCCCTGCCACCTCTACAATTGACTTGCTTTACCACTATTTCTAAATTTCCCTTTCAAAATTGTTTCTTTACACAAAACCAGTAAGAACAAAAGATTCAGCAACATGAAAAAGCTGAATACATTGTTCTGATCTTTACTGAGTGCAGGCAAACTGAATATTATCTGGTTTTATTTGCAGAAGATTAAGATAAGCTAACACCAGGGCAGGAGATGGAACTAGCATTTAAAGGATATACCTCTGTCCTACAACAAAAACCACAAGCAGGACACATTTCCCAAGCATAGGTAGATTCAATTTTTGTATTTGTTTGCTAAACTGAGCCCAGAGATAATTGCATCCACCAGACAAGGACAGCAGCTGTTTTACTACAGGGAGTACAGCAATGGCACTAACCTAGAACCATGACACAGGACTGTATACTTTACAATGCCATTACCTCTACGTGGTAAGGTACAATAGTAATCTAACTGTTCGTTATGCTTTATATATTTTTACCTCTACATAGTGCTTTTCAATCATTTAAATACCTGGCTTGGTTGAACTAGCAACACTTTACTTATTTTCCCATCTGGACTCATTTAACCTCTGTTAAAGCATAGCAATGATTTGTATTGCCTCTCTGAGGATCCCATTATATCTTTACTATTACATTATATTATTACATAATATATATACATAATATATACTATATTACTATTATATTATTATATTATTATAGCCTTACCTACATGGAGAGATACATCCCAGTGTGTGGCCTTTACCACTTAATTATTTTTTGCCAGACTTACCACAGACATTGCCGCCTATCTTAACACGAACATAGCCATCTATTCCCCACGTAGGCCCCCAAGAGTTCTGTACAATCCAGTATGGGACACTACCTGGAAGAGACATTTCATGAACTAGAGACAACATGAGATCTGGGAAGCTTAAAAGACCCCTAACACTCTACAGAGCAAATTAGCATTTTATTATGTCATAATTTGCAATGGTTTGATGATACAGGCCAGTGAAACCAGTTGTTCAGAGAACAGAACTAATATTCCAGTATCGAAAGACTGGATATGGGCTCTTCTAGTGTAAAGACACATATAGCCATGTTCTTGACTTTACAAGGACAAAGTCCCACAGAACTAAAGTAGCAGTGGCAAAGTCACTGGGATCAGGCTGCATTTCCAGAACTGATGTGACATCAGACCAAACAGCTTTCAACAGAACAACTCGTTCTAGATTTTAATCACTTGTCCCACAGAAGGCAGAGCTGCAAGTAAGAGAAAAACATGTAAAACCTACTGGGCTGAAGTTCAGTTGATGGAAACGCACCTGTTCTGTCAAAACCAGTCACAAGAACAGCATGATTTGCTCTTCCACTGGAGCAGTGATACTGTATGATTCCACCAAGATAATCCTGCCAGCTAACTGCATCTACTGTTACTGCCAAAGGGCCCCAGTTAACAAGCATTCTCATCATTTCTTCTTCTTGACCGCTGTGAAAGGAATGAGGGATAATGCCAAGTTACTTTAGTTAGCACACTAAAGTGATTTGAGAGATGGTAATCTCCTTGTTAAGTATGAATTAAAAATCAAATAATGAAACTGTTCCCTCTTGAGTTCTACATGCCATGTAAAATACATTAGTAATTATATATTTCATATACCACAACACAGTAATACAAATATAGGACACAGAAACAATAGGAAAAGTGCAGATCCAAAGATATAATGCTATTAAAAAGCAGCAAGTTTCTGGGTCAAGTCAGTGGGCAATGGTGAGCACTACAAATACAGCAGTAACCCAATTCCTAGTCAAAATCACAGTTCTTGTCTTTAATTTCAGTATGCAGTTATACTGTACTGATAAAGATTAGAAACACAGGTTTTTTACACAGAAACCTAAAAAGCTAAAGTCTTCACACAATTCAGTTGACAATACTGTTTCTAAAGTCATGGGCTGGAGAAGATGTGGGTGGGTATGTAAATGGAGGAATACTGAAATAACTGAATATTTCCTAATTTTTTCAACAAATTCCAATTACTACAGGTAAGATTTACTGTTTCTAATAATAAAGCAGTATAATGTTCAGTAAACATACATGAGAAACTGTAACTGCCTCAACACTCCAGTTTATACACAGCCAATTTAAAAGAACTAATTTCAAGCCACAGACTTAAGCTTTCTCATTTGAGTAGGCTTAGTGATGGCAGTGTTGAGTGGATTTGTAATGGCAAGTCTTAACTCAAAAATGTTAACACATTAATCCTTCTCCAGCACACAGCTACAGAACTGGTGCAATCAATCTCATAACCTTTGCCTGGTCAATGCACTATTCACTCTAGCTTACTCCACAATTGCTGAACACAGAAGGAAAAGTATAGCAAATAAAAAGAGTCAATAATAGCTACCTGAAGTCATACGCAGCAAATCCTGTTATTGAAACTCCGAAATCTGAGCGATCAAAATAATGGCACAGTCCTGTTTGAGCTTTAAAAGTGTATTCTGAATCTCTCACAAGTTTCACTCTTGTCTGCAAGAAGATAAATGAATAAGAATTTAATGCATTTGATTTTATCACTATGCAGCTCAAAACATATTGAAATTGGCCACATAACCCACTCAAAATTCAGTGTGCTCTGGGTGAGATTAGAAATGTGTCATATTGTGAAATAGGTATTTACTATCTCTAGTTTTCTTTTTCACTGAGAAAGCTTCAGAAGGGATCCAGAAGTCTTTAAATAATGAATAAAATTTAAAAAGCATCTCAGGTTTAAACTAGCCTCATAAGCAATCTCATCAATTTCAAGATAGAGAGATACTCATTCGATGAATGACTATTCATTCTCTTCAAATGACTTCCACAAACAAAATTATTCTCTCCTTGGAACAGTTCAAGAAGCACAAATATCCCAAGAAGCTATATAAAATACTGAAAAGTCTGATTCTGTTACTAGCTTCAAATCCTCATACTAACATATTACATTTATATAATGGTTTAAAGTCCAGAAACAAAGCTGTTGTATCAGCCTTTTATGCTTTCCTTGTCTTCTGCAGTACAGTACATTTATGACAGTGACTTCTCCAGCCTAAATCATTTGTGGTCCCTCTGTTGCCAAGCAAGACAGAATTTTGCTTCAGAGGAATCAAGATGAGTATCCTCTGTTGTTCTTGAAATAGAAATTTAGACAAGTTATCTAGACGGTTATTAGCAATGGTTATATGAATCTTCAGGAATTACAGTTTCTTAAAAAGGAAAAACCAGGGGTTTTTTAAACTTCAAAAAAAGAAGGAATTCTTTTCATATTCTTATAATTCAATCTGAGAGAGTACTTTTTATTTCAAAGATATAAAAATGTTTCTGTTTACATGTTATTAACACACATTTTTTGTTTTTCATGAATGAAATGTGTTAGCTACAACTGAAGTAGAAACTGTGTCTCCATTTTCAATGTTTTGGGTTGCAAGTGAAACAAAGGTAAACACAATCCATTTTATTCTAAGGTTCTCCACACTTATTCATAATTTTGCAGTGTTTGCAACAGAAACCATAGAAATTTGAAAGCAGAAAATGTCAACATCCTTCCTAGATGCTGGTGCCTCAAATCCACAAAATGACATATGGATAAATGGCTCCATCTACACTGGTTCTGTATGTCTGCAATTCCAGCTGAATTCAGGAACATTATTTTCAGCCCCTGAGGGCTGATTTGTTACATTCACAAGAACATATACGGACCATAAAGTTCCAACCAAATTTTAATTCTGCTTAAACAAATTCTCTCTTAGTTCCACACTAAATAAATATGCATACATATACACACGCACACATATGTATATGCACATATAAAGGTACACACACATCAGGTGAGCTCCACACTTCGTCTTCCCCACCACTTTTTCCCAGTAAATAAGAATGGTGATATGAAAACTAATGAAGGGTTTGAGATTTATAAAAAGTTCCAAACCTGGTTCAGCCAGCTCAGAGCACTAACAGTGGATCCCCCATTGCAGCCGTAATTATTGTATGAGCAGTCAATAACTTGCTGCACACTGAGCTCTTCCAGGTTGTTTCTTTTAATTGCATAGGCGGACTCTATACCACCCACAACGCTGAAAGCCCAGCAGCCTCCACACTGATAGAAAGGGAAACAGGAGAAAGAAAAAGTCACTTTTGTCTTTGAAGCCTGATATGAAAAGCAAAAAAGAGTCAAAAGAGTCGTCTAATGCTCTTCATTTACTACACCATCCTTGAACTTTGATTTTAAGGCAATAATAAAGAAATTTAATCATCCATTTAAAATACTGAACTGTTTTTTCTCCTATACTGCTCTCTGAAAGCCAGAAATGCATTATGGATGTCTTATTTCAAGGATTCCGACATTGTGGTTGTCTTACATTAAGGAATCCCTCCTGATGATTTTTGTCCTTTAAGATAGGTCTGAGGATGCTTTTTACTGTGAGATATCTATTTTCCTAAAGAAAGATTGGGACTCAGGATGAAATTATTTTTTAACCACATTAGTAAGTTTTTGTAGAATTTTATAGAACTGTATTAGATTACAGTTTAAGAAATGGTAAACTCAAATTAAACATAATAGTAAAACTCTTAGACAATCACAGAATCTATACTGCAGTTCTAGGCTCTTAAAACTGAGGCCTTTAAATAGGAAGCAGAATTTATTCCTCACAGGGTCCAGGTTACACAGTGTGAAGCACAGAAGGGAAAGACACTGGGGATTTAACAGCTTGTTTCTTACCATTTTATCTTGGGATAAACTGTAGTCTTGTGGGGTCTGGTCACCTTACTATCATGAATGCATCCCCTGAGGTGTTCAGTGGTAAAGATATGGGTGTTGACTAGCCAAGGGCATTTGATCGTGGGAACAAACAATAGGAAGGGATCTATACTCATCCAGGTAAACTGAGGGGGATGAGATCAGGTATTAACTTACCTTGGTCCCTCCAGAAAAATACAAGGCACACATGATGCAAAATACTTGCAGACTTGGTTAACTAAATCAAAAAATGTATTATGCACAGTTTATAAATACACAGTTCCTAAAAGTACCATTTTTACACCTCATCCCTTTAAGTCTAATCCCACCTCACATAAAATGCTATGTGACTTTGTATATGTTCAACTGGTCATACTTGTGCCAGCTCTCCAATGAGTCTTGAGGCAGTGCTGGTCCTTTCCAAAACCTTCACTGTGCTCTGCAGTCTACCCCCTGAAACTGTGTCTGAGTAGTGCTTGAGAACCAGGAAAGGAAAACACGTGGACTTACTGTTTGCTGATTTCTCACTTCTGCAATGACTTTCTTGTCCCTCCAGTCAAACTTCTTTGGCAAAGGTATTTCCTTTCCCTTTGGCACTTTTGCGTATCTGGGAAGGTTGTGAGGTATGCTTCTTAAGTAAATAGCTAAACACAGAATACAAACATTTATAAATCTACTAAAAAAAAAAAAAATCCACAAACCACTATTTTACTAGAGGTCACAGAGGTAACCTTGATATGTAGGTACAAACGTGAGTTTAGATCTCATTTTCAAATCCAGAGAAAATTCATGTATTTTAATATAATCATTATACTCCACAATGAATGTAAATATCCCTATAGTTCCAGAAAGAAAAGGAATATTCTATATAGAGAATGTGGGTAGGAAATGTGTATATTTTCTAAAGTTGAACAATAACCACTCCATAAAACAAGTTTTGTTTGAAAATTTTCACATTTTACTGACTTAAAAAATACTATTTTATTTTAGTCAGGTACAAGGGGAAAGTAAGAGCAGAATAAGGTAAAGATTCTGAAACACCCACTAACTGTTGTTTTTTCACTAAAAAAGTTGCTGAATTATTTAAAATTTAAAAAGGAGTTAAATCCTCTGATAAATAGAAAATGTAGTAATAGACTTGAACAGCAAGAAGGGAAGATTAGGTTAGACATCAGATAAATTTTCTAGGAAAAAGAATAAAGCACGTTATATCGCTCTGCAAAGTCATAGCTGTGATTGTATAACCATGGACCTCCAAGCACTGTTTGGGCTGTAGCCAGTTTTGTCTTGGGATAGGCAATAGGAACTTACTCAAGAACCTTGTGTATCTTCCACTTTTAAAACTGATGCAACTGAAGAAGGCTTTAGGGCACAGTGAGAAGAAAGAAGGAGAGACGGAACTGCCTGTATACTAAAACATATTCAGGTTGTGAGCAATTCAACATTGCAATACTGGAGAACATGAAGAGGATTGTTGCATCCTTCAGAAGTACTGATTTGGGTACCAGGCATTGTAAATTAGCTGACTATCAGCATGGGGAGAATCTGTAAATGTGAAAGACAGAAGGTTCTGGGAAAGAATAACAAAAATATCAGAAAAGGCATTAGCAGCAATCAGAAAATGTACCTTTGAACTCTTCAGGAAACAGGTGAGAAAACTGATTTATTCCATAGAAAGCAGTCGCATTATCTTTTGATGATGAATTCAGTAATCTAATTCTTTTAGCGCTTTCCTGAAGGAAAAAAAAAATAATTGTGGGCATTTTTAAGTTAGCAGTAGTGACAAAACCATAAGAGCAGAAAAAGAAAAGGTTAGCAACAGTAAGCACGAACATAGATAACAAGACAGCTGTATACCTCAGATTCGCTGTGTATTCCTAGCAAACCAACATAAAAGCCATTAGACTAATTTCAACTCCAAGAAAGATCAAAAAAAGCACTTCTTAAGTGCAAGGAATTGATATGAAGCAGACAAAACAGGCAAGCTGAGAACAAGTTGGGTTAAACTCATCTGATGTCTTTCCTTCACAGCACAACAAACCTTGTGGTTTAGAGATGTAAAAATGCCTTCAGATAAGAATTAACCCCACCATGCTTCATGTCTTTATAAAGCAAAAGAAGAGCATAACGGTCTAAAGACATTAAACTCCCTAAACTTTATACTATTGGGAATCCTGGATCTCTGAAAAACAGGGTTTTGAACTATGAAAACAGGACAATCTGACCCTCTTCAACTTCTGCTGACAAAGTTCACCATGAAATATATAAAATTTCATGCCACCTTCTGCGTTTTCCATGACGACTCCATCGCACTCCCTCAATGGCAATAGTGGTCTGCTATTGCATCCCGGGCAGCATCACCTTCGATCCCACCACACTGGCAGCCACCACCCGGGGCGGGAGCCAGATCGGGCTGGTACCTCAGCCTGGTGACCATCCCCTGCCCTGTAAGACCGGCACCCGCCTGGAACGATGGGCAAAAGGGGGACACTAGAGCAGGCAGGGCATGCCTGCCTTTTCCCCCTTCTCCCGGTCGCCCCATATCCCTGGGAAACAGCTCTGGCAGCACGCTCCGTGCAGCCGGAGGGGTGACCCCCGTTGGCATCCGGGCACGCGTGGCCCGGCTGGCACCTGCCGTCCGACATGGGGAAGGCGAGAACGGCAGCGGCCCCAATGCCAGCGATCTGGGGAGACGCGGATCTGGGGGATGCACCGAAGGCCTGCGGGAGGTGGGGGGTTCCGGCAGTGCGAGCCGAGGAACCTGCCGGTCCGCCTTCCTCCCGCCTCCCGGCCAGCAGCGCTGAGCGGCACTCGCCGCCCTCCTCCTCCGGCGGCGAGCCCGGCGCAGCGGTCCCGCAGCGCGGATGGCGAGTGGAAGAGCGGGCTGGGACACCTACCCGGAAGGGCCGCCGCCACCGCCTCTTGCCCCGGCCGCCTCTGTCCCACGGAGGGCGGCCCCGACCGCCACCGCCGCCGGCCGCCCTCCTCCCGGGCCGGTGGGGCAGGCGCCGGGAGGGCGGCACTGCCCGCCCGCACTGCAGCAGAAGAGCGCCAGCAGCCCCACGGACCGCCATGTCATGGCGGGGTGCGACTCGCGGGCACACCGCCACCCCGCGGGTCTGCGGCCCGCCGGTTTCCGTGGGGGAAAAAGGGGGTAAACCCTCCCTTGTTTCCCAGCCGGTGCCCGGAGGGTGCGCCCCCGCTCCCAGGCCAGCGCGGGGCCGCCCCCGGGCTGCACCGCCCGGCGGGGCGGGACGAGGCGGGGCATGGGAGTAGCGCCCGCCCGACACGGCGGGTGTGGTACCGGGTACCGCGTGGGCGGCTCGGACTGAGCGGCCGCTTCCAAAGCTCGTGTGTTCAGCCATGGGTTTTTTTCCGCGGGGGAGACGCGCGCGAGGCTTGCAGGGCTGCAGACGGGGGGTGCTGAGCGTTCAGTCAGCTGCTGGTTAAAAGGTCACCGAAAATCCTTCACCGAAAGTTAGTTGGTACCTGCAAACTGGGCTGCCAGTAAGAAGGGGAAGGCGTAGCTACTGCCTCTTTGGGACGGCAGGAATACAATTTACAGGCTTCAGCAAGGGAAGGTACGGGTGGGGAGAGAAGAGCTGCACAGCCAGTGCCCCCAGCATCTGGGTTCCAGATATGAATCAGGTTATGCTAAAAGAAAACAAGGAGAAAAACCTGTGTCTGCTTATGGTGGCTCATTGCTTTCCTTGGAGACTAGTCGTGCTGATACTTGAGCAAGCAGGTCAGTGTTTGGTGTTTAAAGACTTCATTAGGCCAGTATGAGTTAACATAGTCGTCTTTTAATTTCCATCACCAGGTACTTTTACACAGTATCAGTAGGATATTTATGTGTTTAAATCTGCTCTATGTTTCATCTCCCTCTGTTGCTTTTCCACCCTGCGTCAGCTTGTAAACGAAACATGAATGCACAGGTGCCTTCTCCTGTGGTGCCAGTAGCCAACCTGGCAGTGCTGTGCTTGGAAACACAAGACTTTTCTCAGGGTGAAATTTTAAGAGTCAGGGTGCAAATTTTTGCTGCTGCCCTATCTTGTGTAACAGCAAACTTTTGTTGGAGTTTGTAAAGGGTGAGGTGTAGAATTGTGCCAGTACATGTTCTTTCATTTTTTTCAGCATGTAGCATTCAATAATCTTGGTATGAAAGAGAAGTTATACTGTATGAAACACAAGAGATCTGTGTATCTTTAGTTTCTAATTCCTTTCTGGGATAGTAACTCCTCTTTGAGGGGGTACTTCAGCAATTTGAGTACTTGACTGATGTCTGGTATCTCCCCCAATGGTGACTGAAGAAGTATGTAAATAACTGTGCTGCATTTGCTATTTTTCTTTAAAATGAGCAACTAAACAGGAATTTTACCAAAAAAAAAACCCCAAACCCCCCAAAAACCCAAACCCCAAAACCACTTACTTTTCTGCAGTAAGATTACAGTACCAGAGTTGTTTTCTGTTAGGGGAAGGGAGAATAAAACCCAGCACTTTAGTCATGAGATGAGGACAATGTCTTTCAGTCTACTCCATTGATAAAGGAGAACTTGTGTTTGTTTGCAGAACACTTATCATGCAGGTACCTTTTCTTTATGAGGAAAAGAAAAAAAATCATTATTCTGCTTTGTACCTGGAATTCTACTTATTTCTGTAGTGAAGAGAGAATTTAATGTTTAGCACCACTCGTATGGTGGCCAGTAGATTAATGATAAAACAGCCATGGCAGCTCAGGAACCTCTTGACTAAATAAAAGTTTATGATTTGATTCCACCAAATAGCTTGTGTCCAGGGTTGAACAAACCTGCAGAGATCGTGATGCAGCTCTGCCTTTGCCTTCCCCCTTCCCATGGAATGGCTGTTGGGGAGTTGTCTGAACTGCTGCCCATTTTGGTATAGGGAGGCCTATTTGTGTCTTATAGCCAGAGTATGAGAGCTTGTTAACATAGCAGATTTTATTGATTATTCTGTTATAGTTTATCACTGTAAACCCAGGATTGGCATAGGAGATGTTATTACAATTTATTACAAACTCATATTGACATAATGAAGTCTGGGATCAGCATAGGGACCAGATAGGATGAAAACAGTAGCATAAGAAATGAATTGTGAAACCTTTCTGAGGATGGTCTGGACTTCAGCAGCCAAATTCTGAAACCAAATCCATCAAACTGTAACTCTGAGTGCCGAGACCCTTGGGAGAAGTGTAGGATAGTGGCTGGCAGGAGTGTCAAAAGAAAGCTTGATATGGTCACCATAACTTTGGATGTATTGATTGTGAAAGTAACAGCAGCCTTAATGCAACAGTTGCATGATTTTATTCTCTATGGTATAGTATAATGGAATAGGAAAGAAGTTACTTTAACAGTTAGTATAAGCAGCAGAAAGATACTGAAATTATGTTTTATTTCAAAACATGCTTTTCATTAAAGTTTTCACTTTTCCACCAGGCTATCACGATCAACTTTTACTAAATTGGCCTGCTGGCCTTGAAATCTATTGCTTGGGAATTATGATTATCTCAAGATGAATACATTTTCTTATGTTTAATATATAGTCATTACATTTCAAACCAGTCAACTTAGCTTTAATAGAGCAACGAGATAAGCTTTCAGTTATTTTTCAGTTATTATTTCCATGGACTATGCTCTGTTAATAAAAGGAGAAGTTGTCTTGATTGGAGAAGCTGTTTTATTTTGTATGTAGATTTCAGGGGTTACTTTTCCTGTGGAACACATGAGGGCAGCAAAGGACTTCTGCAAAGTTGCAAACTATGCAGCTTTCATTTTTATTTTAATTAAATAAATCTCAAACAAATGAGCAAAAACCCCCTACCCTATTTTGGGAAAACAGATATATCTCAGATGGATTTGGATTAAAAATTCTGTACAGCATAGCAAGAGGAAAAGGTGTCTTTCTCCTGGATTTGCCCTCTGTGTACTAAGTAGATGTGTCAGTTTATTTTGTTGAAGAGGAGAGAGTGTTAGAAAAGTCAGCGTCTTGTCTGATGACTGGTTCAGGGAGAATAAAGTGTAATGAACAACCAGTAGGTGACTGACAGCCAAAGTGTTTCAGAAGGCTTTATTTTTCCAGTGAACTACCGTGCTATTAAAGCACTTTGTGCTTAGATGAACAAAATCACACCAAAGTACATAGAGAGCTGTGTCTGTAGGCATGCAGTCCTTGCTCTGTTTTGAATTACTCCAGTGTAAATTTAGCTATGCTTCCTTAAGATAAAAGAAAATACACTTGTAAAAATAATACCAGATTCAGACCTGTAAAATAAATAAGAGTACAAAGGTGTTAGCTTTTCTTTTGTTTGTTTGCTCTGGGTTTTTTGTTTGGTTGGGGTTTCTTAAAGGCTTTATAGATATAGCTCTTATTGCTTCATTGAGACAGTTAAGCCATATATTAGTGACACTAGTCACACCAGACAGGTGATGAAAATCTTTTTGTGCTTTTTTTTTTATTATTGTTGTTTTGTTTTTGTTTTGTTTTGCTTTGGTTTGTTTGTTTGTTTGTTTTGGTTTTTTTTCTCAGAAACTCTGATTTAGAATTTTATAATTGTCAATGCTTATTTTAAAATATATTTTAAGAAATTTTATGTATCTCTAATAACCACTCTGACTATTCATTAGAAGTATTTGATAAGCTGAAAGAATGCATGCTAAAGGAAGAAACAATAATGAACATACATTTAGGAACCTCTAAACTCATTTTAAGATATTTTCTTTAAATGAAGATATTCCTTTCTTAAGAG